ACAGGGACCCTCTTCAGTGCAAATTGCAGCTCGTCGGGTGATGTCACGGGATCTCCCAGATTTTGATGGGAAACCTGAAGACTGGCCCATATTTATTAGCCAGTACAACATCACCACGGAATGTTGTGGGTTCAGCGATGCCGAAAACCTTGTTCGGCTGCAACGATGCCTGAAGGGCCATGCTCGAGAATCGGTTCGCAGCCGATTACTTCTTCCCGCGTCCGTCCCTCAAGTAATAACTACACTCAAGATGCTCTACGGCCGACCCGGGTTACTTATAAATGCTCTGTTGAACAGAATGCGTTCTGCACCGGCGCCGAAGATGGAACGCCTTGAGACGCTGATTGAGTTTGGGATGGAACTGCAGGGGCTCTGCGATCACCTAGTAGCTGCGGGAGAAATAGCTCATTTAAACAATCCCTCGTTGTTACAGGAGCTAGAAGACAAGCTACCTTCACAGCTGAAACTTCAATGGGCTATCCATAAACAAACCGTGACTGATGTGACGCTGAAGACCTTCGCAACGTACATGTCACAAATGGTTACTGCGGCGAGCCAAGTGACCAAATTAGTTCATTGCTCTAGTGACCGTCGGACAAGCGATCACAAAAGGGGAACGCAAAAGGAGAAAGCGTGGGTGTACACTCACAGTTCGAACAGTGTAGAAAGTACATCTGGTGGCCACTTGAATCCAGATTCTAAAGGACGGAATTGTGCAGTCTGGTTTGGTTTGGACCAGTTGAACTTGTCAATGCCGCTGAAATGCCGAGAAGGGCACAAAGGCGAACCAGTAGCCACAAAAACGCGACTCGGGTGGTGTGTATACGGCGGAGGTAATAATGCGAAGTCCGTAGGGGTCAGTTGCCATATCTCGGAAGTTCAGCCAGAAAAGGATCTTCACGAGGTAGTCAAGCGGTATTTCGAGCAGGAAGATACAGGAACCAAGCCGATGATGAAACTGGAATCAGCGGAGGACACGAGAGCAAGGAAGATTCTAGCCAATACCACTGTTCGGGTGGACGGTAGATTTGAAACCGGACTCCTCTTGAGATACGATCATTTCGAGTTTCCAGATAGTTACCACATGGCTCTTCGTCGATTGGAGTGCTTGGAACGTAGGATGTTTCGTGAGCCCGAACTGAAGACAAATGTCCTTCGACAGATTGAAGACTACCAGATGAAATGTTACGCGCATCGCGCTTCTGAGGAGGAACTGAAAAATGCTGACCCCCGCAGAACATGGTATTTACCACTCGGCGTTGTGACCAACCCAAAAAACCTGGTAAGGTCCGGTTGATTTGGGATGCTGCGGCCAAAGTGGACGGCATATCTCTCAACATGGTTCTTCTTAAAGGACCGGATCTGCTGTCTTGTCTGCCAGGGGTTCTATGCCGTTGTCGAGAGAAGCCTGTAGGGGTAAGCGGTGACATACGCGAAATGTTTCACCAGTTTCGTATACGACTTGCAGATCGTTCTACCCAAAGCTTTCTGATGCGAACAGACCCCAGTAAAAAACCAGATGTGTACTTCATGGACGTAGCCACCTTTGGCTCCAGTTGCTCGCCGTGTAGTGCCCAGTTCATCAAGAACCGTAACGCAGACGAATTTGCTGTCGACTATCCCAGGGCAGCAGAGGCGATAATCAAGTGTCATTACGTGGACGACTACTTGGACAGCTTCGACACCATCGAAGAAGCTCAACGAGTGGCAGCAGAGGTGAAAATGATCCACGGAAAGGGTGGTTTTGAAATTCGAGGTTGGCACTCCAATTCCCACGATGTGCTCAGACATCTAGGTGAAACGGTGGCTTCGGAAGTGAAGGACCTGAACCTGGATAAAACCGAAGGAGTAGAAAGAGTTCTTGGTATGTTGTGGCTCCCAATAGAGGATGTACTGGGATTCTCAACTCAAATGCGAAAAGATATTGCTGCGATTATCGATGAAGGCCGACGACCGACCAAGCGCCAAGTTCTTCGGTGCGTCATGTCATTGTTTGACCCCCTGGGCTTGCTGGCCGTGTACACAGTGCACGGAAAGATCTTGATCCAATCGATATGGCGCTCGGGATCGGACTGGGATGAGGAAATCGGAGAGGAAGCATTCAACCGTTGGCTGAAATGGATCGGAATCTTGAAGCAGGTCGATAATATTCGCATTCCTCGTTGTTACGTTGGTTCAACTGCTTCTACATCACTGCGTTCCGTCGAGCTGCACGTATTTGTAGACGCCAGCAAAGAAGCGTACAGCGCAGCGACTTATTTTCGTTTCATTCTGGTCAATGGGACCATCATCTGCAGCCTAATATCGGCGAAGACGAAAGTGGCGCCTCTTAAGCCACTATCTATACCTCGCTTGGAACTACATGCGGCCGTCCTTGGGGTTCGACTTGCATCGTTCGTCAAAGATACCCATACTCGATCCGCCGAAAAAAGGGTTTTCTGGTCAGACTCTAGCACCGTCTTAGCCTGGATTCGGTCAGACGCCCGAAGATACCGACAATATGTAGCGTGCCGCATCGGGGAGATTCTCACCCTATCAGAAAGCAGCGAATGGAGATGGGTGCCTACCAAGATGAACAGCGCCGACGAGGCAACGAAGTGGGGAAACGGACCCTGCTTATCGACGGAAGGGAAGTGGTTCCGGGGCCCAGAGTTTCTCTACCATCCTGAGGAGCAGTGGCCAGAACAGAATTTCAAGCAGAAGGTCTGTACAGAGGAGGAACTTCGGCCGTGTTTCGTACATGGAGGCTCGACGTTGGAGCCTCTAGTGAAATTTGAACGATTCTCTCGATGGATGCGTCTTCTCCGAGCAATGGGTTACACACTCCGGTTCATCCGAAATGCTCGACGAAGTAGAGGGCAGCGAGACATAGCGCCGTTGAACTCTGACAAAATTCGAAGAGCGGAAAACATTCTTTGGCATTGCTGTCAGGAGGAGAGTTATCCGGACGAGATCGCCCAACTGAAGGCGGGTAAGAAAAATGTCGACAAATCATCACCAATCTATAAGCTGTCTCCATACATCGATGAGTGGCAGGATGGACGGATTGGAGCAGCAGAAAACACAGGCTTCAATGCAAAGTTTCCGATAATCTTACCGAAGTCACACCGAATGACAACTCTGATTCTAGATCACTATCACCGTAGAAACCATCATGCGAATCCTGAGACGGTGGTGAATGAAGTAAGACAGAATTTCTATATTTCTCATCTTCGGGCAGCCGTACGGAAGACTTCACAACTTTGCCAAAAGTGTAAGGTCTACAGATCAAAACCATCAACGCCGAAAATGGCACCTCTGCCGTTCGCCAGATTAGCATCTTTTGAACGTCCTTTCTCATATGTTGGAGTGGACTATTTCGGCCCAATGCTCGTGAAGATTGGGCGCACCCACGCAAAGCGCTGGGTGTCATTGTTTACGTGTCTGATGACTCGCGCAGTTCACCTCGAAGTTGCGCATAGCCTTACCACGGAGAGCTGCATAACGTGCTTTCGCCGATTCGTCGGGCGGCGTGGAGCCCCCTTGGAAGTGTACAGCGACAACGGCACCAACTTCCAAGGTGCTGAGAGAGTGCTTAGAGAACAGATCTGCAACGGCCTGTCAGAAACATTTACCAATGCCAATACCAAATGGTTGTTCAACCCACCCTCAGCTCCACATATGGGTGGATCTTGGGAGAGGATGGTCCGCTCTATAAAATCCGCCATAGAAAGTAACGACACCGGAAGAAAGCTTGACGACGAAGGATTCCAAACATTGCTAGTCGAAGCGGAAAGTATGGTCAATTCTAGACCGTTAACCTATCTGCCTGTGGAGTCAGAAGAGCAAGAAGCCCTAACGCCAAATCACTTTCTGCTTGGGAGCTCCAGCAACCAGTCGCAAATCCCACAAATCACCGGGAGGCAGTCGTAAGCAGCTGGAAGCAGATCCGACATCAGTTAGACATCTTCTGGCGTCGTTGGCTGAGAGAGTATCTACCAACGATTTGTAGACGGACGAAATGGTTCAGCGATACGAAGCAAATAGAAGTAGGAGACCTAGTGGTCATTGCGGATAGCTGCAAACGGAACAACTGGATACGGGGGCGAATAGTGGAAATGCAGCCGGGACCCGACGGCCGGATACGACGAGCCACCGTTCAAACGAGCTCAGGATTCTTACGAAGACCAGTCAGCAAGCTGGCCGTGTTGGACGTCAACGATACAGGTAAAACTACTCCTGATACGCAGTGTTACGGGGGCGAGAATGTTGCTACGCTAACTAGCAACGCTGCCCTAATGAAAATGTTAAGGTTAATTTGCTTAACGACGTGTTCGGGGAATCATCCAAACCATTTGTGGAATAGTTCAATCATTTGGGTTATCGTTCGTTTATGGTATTTTTTTATTAGGGTGGTCATCTAACCGATAGCACCGGTGAACCTTGACAGTGGCGGCCGATGACACGAGTGACGAATGACAGGTAATAGGAGGAAAAGGAAAAAGCTCGTGTGAACGGCGAACTGAAGTGGATTCACTGCTGGACTGGTGTCTCATATACAAAAACGTTAATTTAATTGGAAAAATACCTCTAAAATTTGTTAAAATTAATTATTCAACAAGTGAATTCCTAATACTAGTTATTATTTACATACAGAACTACCTAATCTCTAAACGCAATTATTCAATCATGGTGATTGTACGGATTCTCGTAGCATTCGAACTTAATTAGTTGCTAAATCTTAAACTATACCCTACTAGTGGAAATCAAATTGGATATAATCTAAAACTACGAAGCCTACAGTAAATTCTTGAGCTGATCTGGAACCAATAGTTTCCACCGCTAAAAGAAAGTGTAGTGCAATTTGTTCGGGGAACACCCCTAGAGAAAACCCCTCGATAGTTTCCTACCATTGTTCCTACCTTTTCCACTAACCTTATGAACTCCTCTTGAATCCTACCTCTCTGCGCTGTTCAAATGCTTTTGATCTTCTGTGTCTAGCTGCATGCATCCATTTTGACAGCAGTTTGTTTTGATCTTGTGTTTCGCTGATTCGATTGAGTAACAACTTTGCTCGTCTTTTGATAGTGAAAATTTCCGGCAAAATGTTATCGATTTCCAGAAGTAGCCTTCTGGCGCGGCTCGGTCCGATTCGTAGCCTATGTCCGGCTGCATCGTCCCGGTGGAAATCCTCATCGCTACCGCGGAAAGAGGAGGAAGAGTTCGCTTCCGACAGCGACATCAAAATCAGCACCAAACCGACCCACCACCGGTTGGAGAAGCGCAATCCGCTCATGAAGAACATGTTCATCGGAGTAGTGGACACCGATCTGCTGGTGTATCCAGAATCGCTAAACCGGGACGAGCAGTCCCGAGTGGTTTCGGAACGGGAATCATACGAGCGGATAGTGAAAACGAGTGAACCAAATGAGTTGCCCCAGAAGCTGAGGAATGCTGGAGTTTTCGGCTTGCAGTCGCCATTGAATCACGGCGGAAAGCAGCTTATTGAAACGGAGTTGGCATATTTCAGCGAGATTATTTCCAAGGACTTCCGGACGGGGTTGGTTGCTGGGCAGCATAATGCCATCGTTCAGCTTCTGGATCGGTTCGGTTCGGATCTGCTGAAGGAAAAGTGTATGGAAGCGTTGAGCAGCGGACGGGTGACGGTTAGCAGCGCGTTGTTTGAGGAGGAAGCTCCCTCGGGAACCATGTTCAGCACGATTGCCACGCAGGATATGGATCAGAAACGGTGGATACTGAATGGGGCGAAATCGTTTGTGATTGATGGCGATAAAGCGGGGTACTTCCTGGTACTGGCCTCGACCAAAGACATGGACCAGATGAGCGCCCAGGATACTACGATAACGGCGTTCTTGGTCGATGCCAGTGAGAAGGGAGTCCGCAAGGCGAAAGCCGATGAAACGTTCGGGTTGAACGATGTTAAACAAGTTACGGTGAGCTTCGAGAATGTGGAAATCGGAGAAGGTGAGTGTGAATCTTGAAGAACCGCTTCGAATAGCTAATAATTGATTTAATTGTTTCGCAGAGAACATTCTCGGCAGTGAGGGAACCGGAGCGGAGGTTCTGGTTGAACTACTGAAATCGACGCGTGTTCAAACTAGCGTCCTGGGTGTGCAATTGATGAAGCAGTTCCTGAACAGTCTCACGCGCCATTGTATCGAAACCAAAACCGGTGGTGGACACATCATGTGAGGACAAAATTTGCCAGCGCTAGAAATCTTCAATAAACATGATTCGTTTTCCAGGGACATTGAAAACGTCAGTGAGGAGCTGGCAAAGGCCACCTGCTCGGTGTACGCCGCGGAAAGCATGATCTACCTGACCACGGGTCTGCTGGACGATTTCATCGGCCAAGACGCGGAAATGGAAGCGGCGATTACGAAAATCTTCACCGCCGAGAAGCTCATGGACATGGCCATCCAACCACTGCGGTTTGTTGGCCAACAAGCTCTGACCAAGGGTCACCCGCTGGAAGCTTTGTTCCGGAACTCGGTTCAATTTTTCGGACAGAGCGAAACCATTGATTCGGTCAAATTTTTCGTTGCCCTCAGCGGTCTGCAGCACGCCGGTGTGAGTTTGCGTTTTACTGGGTGTTTGGGAAATCATCTGTTATAAATGTTGAACTTTTTTTTCAGATGGCAACGCATGAAACCATCCGAAAAGATCGCAACCCGGCCATGAATCCGTCGCACGTGATATCGAAGATTTTTGAAAAGAACACCATCGACAACCCGAAGCAGTTCGTCAATCTGGAGCATTTCATGCATCCCTCGCTGGACCCGGCCGCCCACTGGGTTGAGTTCTCCATCATGCGACTGAAGCTGGCCACGGAATGTGTCCTCTCGCGGCACGGCAGCGAAGTCATCGGCAGGCACATCGAACTGATCCGGTTAGCCGATATGGCCGTTCTTATCTATGCGATGGTGGCCACGTCAGCCCGAGCATCCCGGGCCTACTGTATAGGGCTGCGACATGCCGAGCAGGAGATCTATCTGGCGAATGCATTCTGCCAGGATGCCCAGGAGAAGGTGCGGGTGCTGGCCAAGCAACTCGAGCAGGGTCAGTTCATTACGAACGATACCAACTATGGCGCCCTGGCGCGGTACCTTTTCAAGCAGAAGGAGTACTTCTTCGAACATCCGCTGACGAAGAATTTCTAGGTTTAGTTGAATGTGAAGCGTTGGAAGTATATTGTACATTATGTTAGCTCGAGATTGCGTCAGATCTGTACGATCCGAAATTTCCTTTTTGTGTCTTTGGACTGCTTTCTGTTTTTTTTATCTAGTTCGTTTATTTGTAAGGCTCAATCGCGTTAGCTTTACGGAGCCGATAATTCATTGTTCTTTGTTTGTAACAAAATTTACTTAATTCTATGTCTAGTAGGAGTTGGGCCGATTACTCGCGGCTTACTCGAGGTTAGAGGGGTACATTGTCGAAGGATAGGAAAAGGGGAGAAGCTTGGGTACGGTTTCGTTGTCTCATCAGAGTGATGTCGCCAGTATGAACGGTAGTGTGGTTCTAGATTCGTCTGGAGTTCGACCGGCTATGGTGACCAGTGGGCGACGATGAGACTCATCGAGACGGGGGACAAGACAAACAAAAACTAATAAAGAGATACAAAAGACAAACGAATTAAATTCTTATACTAGACATTTGCAGAAACACATAAATCGACTGCATATAGCAGAGATCGCGTGTACCCAACACGTCTCTGATAGGAACATAGGGTTGTCTTCCTTGGGCCTCGAGGGTATTCAAAAGTCGCTCTCTGGCGGCGTCATTATCCGTACATTGCCAAACTGCGTGTTCGATGTCATCGTAACCGTTTCCACACCGACATATGTTGCTGTCCACGAGGTTTATTCTATTGAGATGCGCATCTAGCGAGTGGTGGTTGGACATAAGTCTACTCATCACGCGAATGAAGTCACGACTTAAGCCCAAGCCTTTAAACCACGCTCTCGAAGAAACATTAGGAATAATTGAATGTAACCACCGTCCAAGATTTCCATTGTCCCAATAGGTTTGCCAACTCGAAAGGGTACTCTGACGCACTAAATGGTAAAATTCATCGTGTGAAATTTGCCTGTCATAAAATTCGCCTTCCTGCGCGCCCACCTTTGCGAGAGAGTCCGCCTTCTCATTGCCTGGGATTGAGCAATGTGAGGGGACCCATACAAAGGTAATCATATATGATCTTTCGACCAGTACACTCATCTGCTCCCTTACCTTTGAAAGGAAATAAGATGAGTGCCTACTTGGTTTCATCGACCGAATAGCCTCAATCGAACTGAGACTATCCGAGAAGATGAAGTAATGGTCTGTGGGCATATTGGAAATCATCCCCAATGCGAAGTTGATTGCTGCCAGCTCAGCAACAAAAACGGAACAAGGTTCCTGAAGTTTGCGGAAGGCGCTAGAGTTTTCATTGAAGACACCGAAGCCAGTGGATCCACTGAGACGAGACCCGTCTGTAAAATATCTGTTCACGCAATTGACGTGTTGGTACTTTTCAGTAAAAATACGTGGGATAATAATAGTTCGAAGTTGATCTGGAATCCCGTGAATCACTTGTTTCATGGACAGATCATATTCAATTGAGGAACTGCGATTGGTGAAGTGAGCACGGTCTGGAGTATAACAAGGAAGACACATATCCGAGGATATGTAGTGGTGGTAGATTCTCATAAATCGAGATTGTGTGTTCAGCTCAAAAATTTCTTCAAAATTTGCAATTATAAGTGTGTTCGTCACTCCGCATTTGATTAGTATTCTGAGAGAGAGCTCCCAGAAACGGTTCTGGAGGGGTTTTACTCCTGCCAGAACCTCGAGACTCATGTTATGCGTTGAGTGCATACAGCCAAGAGCAATACGCAGACAACGATATTGAATTCGTTCCAATTTTATTAGGTGGCATTTTCTTGCCGAGAGAAAGCAGAAATAGCCGTACTCTAGAACAGAGAGAATAGTTGTTTTATAAAGCGTTATGAGGTCTCCCGGATGAGCACCCCACCATGTGCCGCAAATTGAACGGAGAAAGTTGATCCTCTGCTGACATTTTTGCTTCAAATACGTAATATGGGTATTCCAAGTGCACTTTGAATCAAACCAGACCCCAACTTGAAAGACAATGATTGAGTAATGTTTCTGCCCAAAAGATTAAGCTGCATTTGGGCTGGGTACCGCTTTCGAGTAAACACTACCAGTTCAGTTTTCTGCGGCGAGAATTCGATCCCTAGATTCATAGCCCAAGAAGACAAGTTATCTAAGGAATTTTGCAATGGTCCTTGCAAGTCCACGGCATGTGGACCTCTTACGGAAACCACACCGTCATCTGCAAGTTGTCTTAGCGTGCATTGTTCTGCCAAACAGTTGTCGATATCTTTGACGTAAAAGTTATAAAGAAGAGGGCTGAGACATGAGCCTTGGGGCAGGCCCATGTAGCTAATTCTGGAAGTTGTCAGTTGTCCAAGGGAAAAGTTCATTTGCTTTTCTGACAACAAATTGTACAAGAAATTATTTAAAATTCCAGAAAGTCCACATCTGTGCAGATTGTCTGACAGAATTTCAATGGAAACTGAATCAAAAGCCCCCTTAATGTCCAAGAATACTGAAGCCAATTGCTCCTTGTGTGCAAAGGCCAGTTGAATATCTGTGGAAAGCAGCGCTAGACAATCGTTTGTTCCTTTGCTCTTGCGGAACCCAAACTGTGTATTTGATAGCAAGTTATTTGATTCGACCCAATGATCGAGTCTCCGAAGGATCATTTTCTCCAACAATTTCCTAATGCACGAAAGCATAGCAATCGGACGGTATGAGTTATGGTCAGACGCTGATTTGCCAGGTTTTTTAATGGCTATTACTTTGACCTGTCTCCATTCAGGCGGTACAATCATAGAGGTAACTCTAAGACTAGAAGGTCCCGAAATAACGTGCTCAACTTTTTGGCTCAGCTCTGGTACTATCTTCGGTCCCAAGCTAATCGATTCACCCCTCGAAACATAGGAAAAACCAATCACCCCTCATTTTATCTGTCAAACTTTCATAGCGAATCAAAACAAACATTGCGTAGTACTAGAATTTCGACTAGAATGGGCTACGTTAATCGTTTGCTTGGGACCAATAGGCTAGTCAAGTAGTGAGCCAATTTAAAATCGTTAGTTTCGTATTGATTGTTGGTACAATGTTGTTTTCTAGCAAGGAATTGAATAAATCTAGCAAGCGTCTTTTAGCGATATCTGGGAAATTTTTCAGAAGATTGAATTTAATCATATCGCTTCCCGGTGAGGAGTTGTTCGATGAAAGAAGAGCCATAGAGAAATCTCAAGAGCCACATGTGAAAAGGGCATATAAGATTTTTGTAAACAAACCTTTATATGCCTTTTTCTCGCCAACCGAGGGTCACCCACGCAAACCAACAACATCATCGGGAAGGGGAAAGCTTTCCCTATCCGCTAATGTTATTGGTTTACTTTGATTTTATATGGGTGGCGAGAAAAGGGCATAAGAAGGCTTGTTTACAAAAAGCTTGAATGCCCTTTTCACATGTTGTTCTTGATCTAGCATTGAGAATGGTCTATCCAGAGAGCCGCCGCTAGGAGACGCTTCTCGAAGAATATTTTGTGCTGGAACTGAGTCCGGAAAGACCTTTTTAGCGAAATCGAATATCCATCGGTTGGAGTATTCTTCACTCTCATTGAAAGATGAGCGGTTACGCATGTTGCGAGCCGCCCTCCACAAGGTGTTCATTGAGGTTTCTCGTGAGAGTCCTTCGACGAAATTGCGCCAATAACCGCGTTTTTTTGCTTTGATTAATTGTTTCAGCTTTGTCTCAAGCTTTGAATATTCCTCGAAGTAAGTGGAGGTTTTGTGTCTACGAAAAGCTTTGAAAGCATCAGATTTTTCTACATACAATTTTGTGCATTCTTCGTCCCAACCAGGTGTGGCTGGTCTCCTTTTAAAGGGTGCACTTGGAACTTTTCTTTTTTGTGCTTCCAGTGAGCTTTTGTAAATCAAATCGGCTAGGAATCGATATTCTTCCAATGGTGGAAGCGCATCTATTGATTCGACACCGATTGTCACCGCCGTTGCATATTTCTGCCAGTCGATGTTCCTTGTAAGATCAAATGGAACCCGAGATGGTTCTGCAGAGTGAGGGCCACACTTTATTGAAATGATGATTGGCAAATGATCGCTACCATGGGGATCATTGATAACCTTCCACTGACAATCCAATGATAGCGATCTTGAACACAAAGATAGGTCGAGTCGGCTTTCTCGAGCCGGAGGTTTTGCTATACGTGTCGCTTCACCACTGTTCAAAATAGTCAAATTGAAATCGTCACATAAATCGTAAAAAATAGCCGCTCTATTGTCGTCATATAGATCGCCCCACCCAGTACCATGGGAGTTCATATCACCCAGAATTAATACTGGGGATGGAAGAATCGAAACTAGATTCCAGAGTTGACTACGGCTAATGGAGGTTCTTGGTGGAACGTATACTGAAGCTATGCAAAGATCTTTGTTCTTCACATTTATTTGGCAAGCGACGATTTCGACGCCTGATAGAGCAGGAAGGGAAATTTTGTAGAAAGGGTAGCACTTTTTGATCCCTAAAAGTACTCCTCCATAAGAATCGTCTCTATCCAGGCGTATAATGTTAAAATCGTGGAAGTTGAGTTCTTTATCGGAAGAAAGCCATGTTTCACAGAGAGCAAATATATCACAATCAGAATTGTGAAGTAAAAATTTGAACGAGTCTAGTTTAGGCACTAGACTACGGCAGTTCCACTGTAGCACAGTGATCATATCTTCAACCTCGTTCGACGAATTATCCATCGAAAGATATGATTGATGCAAGGAGGGGCCATGAAACAGTCAATTGCTTAAGATATGATTCTAACGTTGGAAGCAAGGCAGAAACTAAGCTTCTTAGAGGGTCTTGTATGTTGAACATGTTTAATATGAATTCCACAATGTCCGAAAAAGCTAGCAAACCTCGTTCGGACTTGGATTTCTTTTGAGAAGTTTGAGGAGCAGCTTTTTTATTTTTTTTATCTTTGTTGGGCAATGGCGGAAAATTCTTGCTGCATCCAGGGATTGGATCAACAGGAGCCTTCGGTTTTGTTTTTTCATCCCCATTACCCTGGGAATTTGGCAATCGTCTGGAGGTGGCTTTAGTTTTCTTACGGCGCACTTTCGGGGAG